CTACTGGCGCGACTTACCGTGAGTATTGAGCTCCCGTCGGATGTCAGCAAGAGCCTCCCGGCCAGACATCCTTACCTTTTCCATTTTCGACAATCGGCGAGGTTTACCCATCCGATGCTGTGAGTATTGAGCTCCTGTCGGATGTCGGCGAGAGCCTCCTGGCCAGACAACCTTACCTTTTTTCATTCTACGGTTGGCGAGGCGTACCCATCCGATGCTGGGAGTATTGAGCTCCCGTCAGATGCCAGCGAGGGCCTTAGTCTGGCGACTGTCCTTTGCTCAATTGCTTTTTGGGGGGTAAATGCCATACACCTCAAGTTTTTATGACTCCTAGTGATGGTAGCAATAACAACAGAGCTCCTGGTAATCCATGTTTATTTGCATCTGTCATGTGGCTCCGATAAGTGTTTGCTGTGATAGGAACTTCTTCACTTGACATAAGTATTTTAAACTTTTCCCATTTTTAGATTGCCATGTATCTGTCACAACTGGGACAAAGAGGCAGACAGGCAGGATAACGTTAAGCAGAGAGTTTAATCACAGGAACTTAAGAGAGGCTTCCAACCAAAAAGAGTTCAACATAAGCAGTAAGGGAAGAAAAACACAGTCTTATCTGGGTCGGCACTCCGATCCTTCAGCCGAGAACTGAGGATTCCGAGGGGAACAGGCAGACTGGAAGACGAGGAACCAGGACAGAATAGCTTGCAACCTTGAGACCAGCCAATGAGTGAATGAGGTGAGTGAGTATTTGAGTGGTGTGGTAAGTGGGTGCAGGTGTCCATGATCAGTAATCAGGTGATTGTGAGCGGGTGTAGGAGGCTGAATCGGCTGGTGAGGCAGGTGTTTCCGTGACAGTATCGTAATACACCTTAATTCTGACAGTTAATACTTATACTTTCAGTTATTTTATCATCTGTACCCTGAAGCTTAATAAATAAAAAAAATAAAAAAGATGTTTACATTTAATATAGCAGTTTTCCAGGGATCCCTAAAGCAAACATGCTGAAGCTGTTCAGTAAAAAAGCAAACAAGATCAGAAATGGTTAAGGGATAGGGATATCCTATCAAACATTACTGAACACTTTTTATATTGAATGTTTGTAATATTACATAGACTATTAATTCTTAATTAAATTTTAAAATATTTTAATATACAATGTAACCATTAAAAACCAACTGAAAGTAATTCAAAATGCATCTGAATTCAATTCAGTATTTAACCCAATTTAGTAATCTTCACAGGTTGTTTTAAAGGACTCCCAGCCTCTTGTTCTTGTGTTGCTGGGACAGCAGTGTGCATCCATATCGTTGCAGCACCGTACCAGACAGCACACTATTCAGAACTGAGAATCAAAGCAGTTCCTCCTGTACAGAGCTGCACTAAAATGGAGCAGAGCTGGCACAAACCTAGAACAATGGTAAATTTAAGAGAATTATCAAATACTTTAATGAATGACATGTATAATTCATAAACTTTGATTAATAATATTAACATGCCCCATTGGTATGCTTAGGGAGTCAAACCAGGGCCTGTCAGTGGGATGGTGGTCCTGTATGCAAGCCTGAAAGAAAAGAAACTTGCTGAGACGATAAGGTAGGAGAAGAGTGTAAATGTATAAAGTCTAATATTGTTATATGATCTTTTCATTTCTTGCTACATTCATAATATATAACATGCCTATATGAGGGCACTCCACCCCTGACTCCTGCACTCTCACAGACTACATTTCCCATAATTCTTTGCCGGACTCATCATCACTGATTGCATTCACCTGTGTCTTGTTACTTCCATCAGCCTCACCTTATTTAAAGCTTGGTTTTTCATTCATTCATGGCTCAGTATTGTCTAACCTGTTGCAGTCCCTAGAACCGGCAATGGTAGGAGAAGCCATGTGCCTGTATGATGGGACCCAGTGATGTTGTGTATATGGAGAAGAGGAGGGGTCCAAGAACTGATCCCTGAGGAACCCCAGTGACAAGTTGATGTGCTTTGGATACCTCCCCTCCCCAAGACACCCTGAAAGACCTACCAGTGTTTCCTGTGTTTTCCTTGTTCTTTGTTGCCTTGCCTTGTTTTTGACCCTGGACTGTTCCTTGTATCTGATTGTTTGTTGCCTGCCCTGACCTTCGCCTGTTTATTGGAGTACTCTTTTGTCTAGTTTGCTGTTGTTTGACCCTGCCTGTTTGACCCCTCTGTTGAATAAAAGTCTGCATTTGGATCCACTACTCCGTCTTCACGCCTCTACGTTACAGTAACAAAGTTACTTATATTTACATGTTTACATGGCATCAAAGTATTTTATATTTTCATATTTAGATTAAACTGGTGAGCAAGAAACCCTATTGTAATTGTTAGAATGGCCAAAGATCAGCAATCTCCATGTAAAACTGATTGGGCAAACCGAACCGTAAGTCGTAGAGACTTGAAACTTGGAGGGATGGTAGTACTCGCACTGTCTACATGTCACCAAGGCTCGCGACCCAATTGGCCTGACAAGGGCAATCAAAACTATGAAATCTCTCATAACTCCTAAATCGTTAGTCGCAGGCGATCGTCAATCTCGAAAAAACCACTGCAGTAAAATTCTCTGGATTCTCTAGAAATTTTGAATTTTACCCTTTTGGTAGCTATAATGGGGTAATTTTGGCGCTTTTCCACTGCATGGTACGGCACGGTACGGCTCTGTATGGTTCACTTTTGGGGGGTTTTCCACTGGGTACAGTACCTGGAACCTGGTACTTTTTTTAGTACCAACTTGCTTTATTTCATCATTGATTTAGATGGTCACAGGGTTACTAAATAATATGTAATGTCTTCTTTCATATGTGCTTAAATGACTTGAAGCGCTTGAACCCAGATAATCGCTGCTTGCAGCTATATTATATATTTACATTTACATTATATTCAATTTGCATTTTATATTACAGTCTGTTCAAATTAAAACAAATGAATCCATCCCAAGGGTTTTGTGTAAGGCCAGATCTCTCTGTGGAAGACTCATCGATGGGCTGCAGACACTGACAATGTCAGAATAAATTTTAAATAATCATGATACATATAATGCATGTAACCAGGGGCGGATTTGGTGATTTGGGGGCCCCAGGCAAAATACAGGAATGGGGCCCTATACAATTTCACACATTTACAACCTTGAGGTTTCTTTCACTGTTGCTTGGTAATCAAATGAAGGCAAAAACATGAATCTATTTTTTATTCCAATGAAAATGAAACAAACCCTTTAATTTTTTTACATTAAAAATGCTACACAAGTTTACTGTGTAACGAGCAATGTCACGGAATTCGTCAAATATTGAATGAATAAATCAAATGCAATTCAGTACACTTCAATCAAACCGCGATATGTACTATATGTGAATATTAAATGGCAAAAATACGTCTGCGCCGTTCATTCCGTCACATTCCGCGTTACACAGTAAATTCCGTTTTTATGAATAGATTCCGTCCCCATTTTCTACATCGCCCTACTTTTGCTAAGAAACACGTTCAACGCGGACGCACAGACAGTTGTCTTGGTAATGAACACCAGAGCAACCACTTGCGCGTCCGCACTGAACGCGCATCTCGCATATATAAAGCATTTTAGGGGGCCCTTGGCTTTTGAGGGCCCAAGGCGATCGCCTACCTTTGCCTAATGGTTAAGTCCGCCTCTGCATGTAACGTGCATCAAGAGAGAAAAAATAAATATAAATAACTTTTACTTTCTCTGTCACAAACAATCAAGCTTGTAGTCCAATCTGAAGCCGAGAAATTCAACAAATCAGTGAGGCAGGGGTGGGATAATATCAACGCTTTTTCTTTTTTGGTTAATAAAATGTCAACTGGAGAGGGAAAAGCATGGATTGAACCGATAGAAGCCATCTTAGAAGAAAGTAAATGCGAAACTGATGATGCATTGACGCCATGTTATGTCTCAGAGAAAAACTGATCTCGCTTTTCCCAAGGGATAGGAGAATACAGGACTGGTAAGCTCAGATATTACTGTATTTACAATGATAATATGCATTTGTTTGATAGAATTGTTATTTTGAAATGTAGAAGCACAGCAACTAAGCCAGTAACCTGTTATTTGACAAAATATGTCGAAACTGCGTTTAGTAGGCTGCTTGACAAACAGTCTGCATGTATGCAGACTGGAATAAATTTGTAATTTGAGTGAATTTATGTTTTGACATTGTTAAATAGATATTATTGCAGTGCAAACAACTGTGTACAAAAAAACTGATTTCTTTGTTTCAGTTTCTTATTAAGATTATGCACCACCAGTGGTTGGCACAGGGGGCCACACATCTCCAGGAGGCAGGCCAGAGGTACATTGGTTAATTATTTTTTTTGGCGCCGTGGGTGTAAATTTACAGATTAAGGGGCGGTAAAAGATCCCTTTGCCACGTCACCAAGGGTACGAAATCAGATGCGCTCGTTTTCTCAGACGCTTGCAGAAAAAGGCGTCCCAAAACAAAGTTACTGGGTTAATCTTTTTCACGTTTCCTTGTTTGGTAGATGCACCGGGGACCTGATTACAGCACTTAAAACCTGGAAAAGTCAGATTTTCATTATATGTCACCTTTAAATGGTGACATAGCTATGTCACAGAAATAATGGCAGACAAAAATTGCAGGATTGAGGATATTTGAAGTGGTCACCTTTATTTAAAAGACTCATATATCAGTCCAATCATGTTGGCTTTAAAAATAATGTAAATATGTGGTTGACATCTCTGGCCATACAACTCTGAGGTGTATGGTCCTGCAGAGTTTAGCTCCAACCCTGATCAACTCACCTGCCTGTCGTATATATTTATTTATTTTTAGAAATCCTGAAGACTAATATATTTTTTAGACCTATTTGCCACACGTAAATATTAAAACATTCCTTGTTTGCATCATACAAAAAAAAAAAAAAAAAAAAGAAAGAGAGAGAGAGAGAGAAAGAGAAAGAAATCCTGAAGACTAGCTTGATTGATTCATTAGCTTCATGTGTGTTTGGTCAGGGTTTGGAGGTTAATTTTCCAATAATTATAAAATATGTATTATCTTATTCTCTCTCACAAAAAAAAAAGTAATTATTAATTCCTTGCACCCTTTGGATGATAGGATCTCCTCACTGTGGCTCAGTATCACTAGGAAGTAACAGACAAGATATGTTAGTACACAAGAGACTAACAAGATTCACCAAAAAAAGCATATAGCAACTACATCATCGCCACTAAATCATTTACCTAGTTTAGTGCCACATTAACCACTGTAGAGTCAGTATCGCAGGTGGCTTTGCAGGCAAATCCTGAGATAAAGATGGAGATGATGAACTGAAGGATGGAGAACACCAGCAATATTCCAGTGATCCCCAGATAATATACCTAAATAAACACATTCAACATGCCCATATATGAAAGCAGTTCCACAAATAACATCCCAGCAGTTATATTGAGTTTATTCTGATGATAAGGGTAAAATCAGGATATAAGTTGTTAATAAGTAAAATTGTCATTATTTCCTCACCATCTTGTCATTTTATTTATTTTTTCTTCAAAAGAAGATATTTTAAAGATTTCTTTAATGCCATTCCAAATCATTTTAAAGCATCCAATATCTTTATGGAACAAACTGAGGTTTATGTCAAGATTTTCAATGTAATGACTTAAAAGTAAATTATAAAAGAATCTTCATTTTGGGAGAAGTTTTAAGTGAATAAAATATTCAAACAAAATATTGCACATTGTACATTTAGTACCTGAGATTGTATACAGTCATAATTGTTGTAGCTTGCATAGTTGCAATTTTGATGTGACCTTGGAGAAGTTCCTATTTCTATGCCCAACAGAAAAATGGATATCGCTGCAGTTATGGCACTGATCACATTCATTCCAAGAGAGGCTTTCACCTACAGGAAGAAAAGCATTTAACAAGACAAGAATTTTAATGGAATACACTTGTACAACTCTGTAAAGTAATAATTAGTCCAATATCTTGATCTGTTAAGGATAAATGTCTCATTGTGCTAAAAAAAAGCTGAAATTAATGTCCCAGAAGAAACAACAGCTGCACAGTTTCTTTCTTACTGGTTGTACTAACATGTCTTTCTCTTGTAGTAATATACCAGTTTCAGAACACTTGAGGTATTTTTTATTCCCAAAATATTTGGTGATCTTTTTTGTTCATGAACAACATATGAGCAATATAATTTGTGTGAAAAGAAATATTTTTTGTTTAAATCAAGTAAATATAAATGCAGCTATATTAAATTAAAATTTTATTTTGGTATTTGTTGCTATTTTTGTGCTTAAGGATGAAAAAAATCACAGTGGTCATTTACCCTATAGCCCCATTGTATCTGACTGCATACAGTCTTTACTTAAAGAACAGATGATTGAAAGGGCTTTGTGCTTATAACTATTGAATATGAATTAGGCAAGGTCAGTTGTAATGCAAATCTTGATCAGAGAAACCAATCTAAAGATACAGTGAGAGTTTTACTGCTGACAAATGATGATTTCTGGACTGATTTAAATTGCACAACAGTTAGTTGAGCAATGTAATGATGTACAAATAAGGATCAAGAAGTGACAGAAGAGTTCAGCAAATTATATGTACATACCACACACGGATGAAGTTTATTCTGCGCAGCAACAGACAGAGAGCCAGTACTGATGTACTGAGAAAGAAACATCGGACATGTAAAACATGTAACATTAGAAGTTAATTGTGGAAATTACAATTAAAAGGGAAATAAAGCAAAACCATTAAATTAAACTTACAATGAAAGATCCCCAGTATGTGATGCCGCTAAAGACAGATATACTACCAAATCTGACTAAACTTCCGGAGAGCACAATACCAAGTAAGAAGACCATCACTCCAGTTAATATCTGTACAGTCTAGAGAGCAGATGTGTTTTATTCATAATGGCATAACATTTATGTTTGGAAACACAAAAATATAAGATATATTGATGTTTAATGCACTGAAGGGAATCAGACCAGCACACATCTTTGCAAAATGTCTTATGACAAAAGACTGCTCTCATTTTAAGTGATCTAGAAGAAATCATAAAATGCATTACCCCCAGTGCCTTTGGTTGTGCTTTGAAAAATCCTTTAAGAGCTGTATTGTGATATGCTCCTCTGACCTGCTGTCCATCATCACAAATAACAGTATCTTGTGCCACCTGTGGATTTACTTGGATGATAACTGTAGCTTTATCAGATGCGATGACTTTGCTGTTTTCCATTCTAAGAAAACTTTTGGATTTGACCTGTAATTAATCATTAATCATGAATTAATAATATGATTTAATAATCTTATTAGTAGAGATTTTTGGGGCAGTTGTTGCTTAGTGGTTAGATAGTTGGACTTGTAACCCAAAGGTTGCAGGTTCAATTTTAAATACCGTCAGGTAATGTATGTATAGGCTACTCATATAATAATCTTTTGATTGTCTGGGATAATCAGTAGTAGTACATGTAAATACATACTGTATTTTTGACAAGGATGCCTTTGGAGTTTTTCCTCTTCTGAAAGATCAGAATGTAAAATGTACATTTTTCACAAATATTTTGTATTATTGCACATTTCATTTGATTATAAACATTTTTAAAGTTATGAATTATATTAATACTATTTTTGTAGCCGAATGCCCAAACAAATCTCAAAACCTTTAAATGGAATTTTATGTATTAAAGTATAACAATAAATAAACAACTTACAGTAAAACAATCGGAAGATCACAAAAGTCAAAAGATGATGGTTATTTTTAAATTATGTATATCAAAATAAATATAGGCTTTATAATTAAAATGATCAATGAGCATTTTTACCTGAAGTGAAATGAGTTGTGTTGATGATGTCTGATAACTCTTCTGATGTATCTTTGTGTGTGTGGACTGTGAAGAACCGCTAAGGAGGAGCTTGAGTCATACGAGTTTGCGTAATACTTTTAAGGATTATGTTGATACCCTTCCCTTCCTATATGTTGATATAGTGACTGAAAACCACAAAAAACATTACACATCTCTTGCAAAAACAAACACTTCTTTCAAAACTATTTTAACTCCTAAAAATAGTGTTTTGCGTAGTAACTCTACACACAAACATCAAATGATTAGCCATATACATGCCAAACTACACGCTGATATGACAAAAGTAAAACACTACTGTCTTTTCCTTGTTCATTGTGCAGTGGAGTGCACAGGAGTTTGTCATAGCACTCACACCTACATGTACTGTATGTGTAAAAATGTACTGTGCATACAGTGTGTATGCACAATTGATTAACTTTACAGTTACTGAAGTGAACAATCAACACTGAACTGACTTGAGATCTGTAAGTAACGGTTTTAAGTAACATCAACTTTTTGATTCCAGACATTACAAATGTGCCTGGTCCCACAGTTGAATGTTATAACAGTAAAACCAATGGTTAAACTTTGTTGCAATTCCTTTTTTTTTCTTCGGTTAAAATAAAAAAAGATGAAAAAGACAGTCAAGTCAAGACACGTTTATAAAGCACTTTATACAATACAGATTTTGTCAAAGCAGCTTTACAGTGTCAAACAGGTAAATAGTTTGTCAATATTGCAAGAGGACAATACCAGACAGTATTCAGCTAAGGTTAGTTCATTGATGATTCAGTGATGTCATCATCCAGTTCAGGGGCCCGTTCTTCTTACCTCACTTATTAAATCTGAGATGATTTGAAAGATGCCAGATATTCTAATTGTGATAACTGATCTCTGGCTAATTTGGTTCTTCAAACGAATTTGCAGATTTGATTAAAATATCTGGATTAAGTTGCCTAAGATTACTGCGTGCTCTCGTGTTCCCCCGAAAAGGGCAGATGTATCGATACTCGAAACCAAGACAGCAACGTAATGACATCATATAATTTAAAAAGACACCTGATGAAAAACGTGACAAATTTTTTGACTTTTATAAGGAAACAGCCAAGCGAACAAAACTGCATAAATGGTATAAAAGATAAATTAAATTTATCTTTGAAATTTTATATAAATGAAAGTTTTTATTTTATTTAAAAATGTTTTACATGATTCCCAATTATTTATATTCACGATTTCTAGTATTTGTACAGGCTTTACATTTTTAGCAGTTCATTTAATTTTATCTTTGAAACACGATTTGTTACATGACAACATTAATTAAAGTTTCTTAAGGGTCAAGATCAATAATCTGCATGTCCTGCACTCCATCAAGCCACTCCCATAATAGCTGTCACCACTCAAATTAATGCATGGCTCAGATTAACTGTATAGCATGTGTGTAAGACTCCAATACAATTATAAAGTAACTATTTTATCTTGAATAAATCTTTCAATGAGTAAAACTGGCTGTGTCTAGTATTATAGACTACACAACAATATTATATTATTTTTCAATTATTATTATCGTAAATTACTGTCCCTGGATCAGTAGGATACTCTTCTAATAAAGTAGCAGTGTCTGGGACTGATTTTAAGGATCAATTCTGCTTAAAAAGATGCTATCTAATCCTGTTTACATTAAATAAGCCTGCTCTGGAGCAGGTTTAAGCTTACGGACCTGTTGCTATGACAGCAACTCCGGGATGATCTTCGAAGAACCAATCAATCCAAGATCAAGCGAAATCATCAACAATCAAATCCAGCTAACTGAGTTAGCGACATACGAAGAACGAACCCCAGCTCTCTTCCAATAGTGTCTGTGCAATCAAGCCGACAATATTGACAGAAATTAAGCGGCCCCAACTAAGCAAGCCAAAGGCGACAGTGGCAAGGAACCAAAACTCCATCAGTGACACAAATGGAGAAAGGAGCCTGGTTTGATTCCAGGCTGCAACACAGGTCAGATTGTGCAGAGGACTTGTCTGGTTCCTGTGGTCTTGTCCCGATGACCATCTAGTTGACAAGGTCTTTGCAGGGGATCTATCTCTGGGGCTTATCTGGTTGACATGGTTTCCTCTGACATCCAGGGTAGAGGTCATCTCTAGGTGCTGATCCACCATCTGGTCTGGAAACAGACTGGATCTAGGTGGCTACAGTGACCTCGGAATAAGAATGAAACAGACTAATATTAGCGTAGATGCCATTGTTCTTACGATGTAACGAGTACATCGGGTGTAATGGAAAGTTTTCCTGGTTCCGGTTGCCCTCATTAATGCAGCCTAACAATCCTTTAACAGATTTGAATTATAGACATGTGATAGTGTGTTATGTGTATGCCAGGTTATGCCTCCCTAACAATGTTAGGTAAATTGTTCCAGAGTTTGAGCAGAGTTTGGAAAACGATCTGCCGCCCGCAGTTGATTTTGATATTCTAGGTTTTGATATTCAAATGGCCAGAGTTTTGAGATCACTACAAACATGAAGGACTATAATGTGATATGAGCTCGCTCAAGTACTGAGGAGCTAAACCATTCAGGGCTTTATAAGTAATTAGAAAGATTTTAAAATGTATAAGATGTTCAATAGGGAGCTAGTGCAGAGCTGACAGAACCAGACTAATATGGTCATACTTTCTGGTTCTAGTAAGAACTCTGCTGCATTTTGGACCAGCTGGAATTTGTTTATTAAGCTTGCAGAGCAACCATCCAATACAGCATTAAAATAATGTAACCTTGAGGTCATGAATGCATGAATTAACATTTCTGCATTTGACATTGAGAGCAAAGGTCATAATTTAGATAGATTTTTTAGATTGAAAAATGCTGTTTTACAAATGCTGGAAATATGGTTTTGAACGGAAAGATTGCTATCAAATAGCACACCTAGGTTTCTAACTGATGACGAAGAATTGAAAGAGCAGCCATCAAGTGTTAGACTGTGTTTTAGGTTATTACATGCAGAGGTTTTGGGTCCAATAATTAACACCTTTGTTTTTTCAGAATTTAGCAGTAGGAAATTACTAGTCATCCAGTTTTTTATACCACCTATGCATTCCATTAGTTTTGCAAATTGGTATGTATCGTTAGGCCACAAAGAAATATAGAGCTGAGTATCATCAGCATAACAGTGAATGCTAAAACCATGTTTCCTGATGATATCTCCCAAGGGTAACATGTAAAGCATGAAAAGCAGCGGTCCTAGTACTGAGCCTTGTGGTACTCCATACTTTACTTGTGATCGATATGATACCTCTTCATTCACTGCTATGAACTGATGATGTTCAGATAAGTAAGATTTGAACCATGCCAATGCAATTCCACTAATACCAACATAATTTTGATGTCTACTCAAAAGAATGTTGTGGTCGATAGTGTTATCTCATAGTAGTATTAGATAGTGATAGATAGATAGTGTTATACTTATTCCATCCTGATGATCCGACGATAGCTGCTCGCATCTCAGCTTGTCTAACGGACATTTCTTGCTGGATAAAGGACCATCACCTTCAACTCAACCTTGCCAAGACAGAACTGCTTGTGGTTCCATCATCAAACCCATCGTTTCATCACAGTTTCACCATCCAGTTAGGCACATCAACCATAACTGCTTCAAAAACAGCCAGAAACCTTGGCGTAATGACTGATGATCAGCTTACTTTCTCAGACCACATTACTAAAACTGCCTGGTCCTGCAGATTTGCTTTATTCAACATCAAGAAGATCAGGCCCTTTCTTTCAGAACATGCTTCACAACTCCTTGTTCAAGCTCTTGTTCTGTCCAGGCTGGACTATTGTAATGCTCTCTTTGCAGTTCTTCCAGCCAGTTTTATCAAACCTTTACAATGAATCCAGAACGCGGCAGCAAGATTAATTTTTAACGAACCGAAAAGAATGCATGTCACACCTCTGTTTATCGATTTGCACTGGCTACCAATAGATGCTCGCATAAAATTCAAGGTATTAATGTTTGCCTACAAAACCACCACTGACTCAACAAAACAGGTCCGTGATCCTTATACTTCCATCTTTATTTTACCCTAACTCTAGCACACTCTATTCTAATTCTATTCTTTATTAAAAAAAACTTTTAGACTTGCACTATTTATTTATTTGGACCCTCTAACTCTAGCACACTCTATTCTAATTCTATTCTTTATTAAAAAAAAACTTTTAGACTTGCACTATTTATTTATTTGCTAACTGCTTGTTTTCTTAAAAAAAAAAAAAACTAACACTTGCTTCTCTAATCTTTTTGTATTCTATCTATTTGTGTTCTTTTTACTTATTATACAATTAACAAAAGCGAAAAGGCCTCTAAAACTAGCTTGCTCTATTCTTTTTCTATTCTATTTTCTTTTTATTTATTATATAATTTTAAAAAAC